TATATATATATATATATATATATATAAACATGTGAGAAGAACCCAGAAATGTATAACGGGGAATGTCAGAGATACAAAGCGTTTCCAAAAAAATATGCATATAAAAAAAAAGAAAGGGGGAAACGGTAATAGGGAAGGAGTGATGCCATCTCACAGGACCTCGGACGAGCCACCAAATTCTTGGGCTGAGGGGTAGGACACCCAATTGCTCCATTTGTTCATCCATAAAAGTTTGAAGACGAGCAAGCCGAGCCCCAGTAGCTTCCAACGCCTCCATGGACAGGCGAGGAAGAAGATGAGAGGTCTCTTCGGTAGCCTGGAAGTCAAAACACAGGCGAAAGGAGGTCACAAACCAAAACAAGGAAGTCCAGAGAGTCGGACAAAGAGAAGAAAATTAACCTGTGAAGGGCTGAATAAGTCAGCTGACGACGGGCGACGAAATCCGGAAGAACCTGATCGTCGAGGCCAGGAGTAGTTAATCGGAAACGAATTGAAGCGCTCCCAGATGACGGTCTGCATGCCAGGTTCTTCTGTCAGAACAAACATGGGATAATACTCGAAAAAAAAGAAGAAGAAAAAGTAGACAAAAAGGCGAGGTGGATGAGGCGTGAATCAACAACCACCTACCGAAGGGATGAAAGGAGCCCTTGCCCTCGCTCCCAGGGAAGTTCATCCGACCACTGCAGGGTGGAGGAGAAAGAGGGGATTTTGGAGAGGTGCCAAAATCTGGAGAAGAGTTTTAGGAGAAGAGGATACGAGGACCTGACGACTGGGTCTGACCCTGTAAACAAGGAGACCGATAAGAGAAAACGGAAAAATGGGCAGAGAACAACACAAAAGATGGAAAGAAGTGATGTGTACCCGGAGGAGACCAGTCGAACGGAAAGTATGAAGGACCCCTAGGACGGACAAGATGAATTCGCCAACTACTGGGGAAGATAAATGACACGACGGGGGAGTCACTGGCTTCTCAGAGGCTCGGACAGGAAACAAGTCATACCGACAGGACACTGGAGCCACTATCGAACGATAGGCATCCAAGATCAACCCTCTGGATATATTCTCCACAGACAGGTCGGATAACACCTGGAAAGAGTGGATCAGAACCCAAATCCGAGTCTTGAATTGGCTCGAGGCTAAGGAGGCGGATTGACATACCGCCCGCAATCATCCAACAAATCTGGGATCGGAAACCAACCTGAAAAACCGAAGTGGAGATGGCGGTGAGACCCTGGGGAGAAAACCATGGGGTATCACAAGAGACGGGGAAATTGATGTTATCCTCGGGAACGATGGAATCGACCCACTCCATGAGCATGTCCCCGAAGAAACGTTTAGAGGAACGAAAAGAGGAAGACCAAGGAGATAACGTCATAAAAGAAAACACAAAGAAAGCCAGACTTGCGAAGGCGAAAGAAAACACAGAGAGGACAGACGGGAAAAGGGAAAGTGCAAGGAGGAAGGCAAAACGAAAAAGAGAAAATGTTCGCCGGGGAGCTCTATAAGAATAAGATAAAGCGAGAAAACACGTGTAGGACATGCACATACAGTAATGATGAAAGCGTGGAGGCAACCTAAAAAAATCAGGGAGCGAGTCACGCGGGGCGAGATTCTGACACACGGCAGAGGTCAAGCCGGATAGGAGAAGCTCTCCCTGGGAGAAGGGTGGCAGCGAATGCCTGTCAGGCCCAATGATGCGTCATCAGAGAACGAGCCATCAGATAAATTTGAGAGCACGAAAAGCCAGAGGCCTCGAAATGGTTGGCCAGTCGCGGTCCAATATCAAGGGCCCGGATCGAAAGAGGGATTCCTCCGAAATGTAGAGAACCCTAGGAAAAAGCCAAACCCCAAAAGGAGAAGATTTTCGGAGAGGCACCAACGAAAAAACGACAGAGTAAGGTCACAGCATGAAGACGGAAGAGACGAACCTCGAACGGAGGAGAAAATGATGAAACCTTTTCCTTTTCCCATAGGAGAAAAAGAAGAGTATCAAAGAAGATGAATTAGCTAGAATAATAGAAAAAGAAGCTTTCTCTCCCGACATCTCTTCATTGAACATGCCTCATCGACTCTCGTGAAAATAATTGGTTACGACATTCGGGGTGTTTACCCCGACGAGGCCAGCACAGTGGATGGTTAGCCTGTCCGTTGATGCCGTGTTTCCAGAATGGCACCCCTTAATCGGACCACCGGGGGCATACCGCTATGCAGACAATATACCTGTCCATCAAGAACCTCGTTGGAATTGCATCTTGCAGCCTATGACTGGCTCTCTTTGCGGATCGGTCTGCCAGTTTCAGTATGCTCGCGGTGGACAGCTCTCCTTTAGAGAACCGGATACCTCTAAGGAATCAACCGTTGAGTATTGCTGGGCTGGCAGGGTGGCACCCCCTTTGAAAACTGACTGATGGCCAGGCCCTGTGTCTTCATGTTACGAGCCCACAGCTCCAGGTCAATTCACCCAAGACAGGTGACTCAGGCATCGTGTTCTTCGTAGCCCACGGTTCCAGGTTATTTTATCCACAATGTTTTACTCAGACAGTGCGTCATTCACTTGGGCTCCCGGTCCCAGGTCATGCTTCTGATGACGTATGACTCAGACATTGTGTCTGTCATCGAAAGGGCGTCACGCACTTCAGGTCACAGGGTGACTCAGGCAACGCGTCCTTCATCAGAAAAACATCACACACTTCAGGCAGGATGTCCTGTCAGGTACACTTAATAAAGGGGGAAAGTGTTTGTTTACAGCAATGATAACTTCCACATCACAGGCTAGCTTTGCTAACCTGCAAAATGGGAGGTAAATTGTTGGGGATTAATTCAAAATTTTCTAAGTGGACGAATCATGTGCTTGTACATGGCGTCATTGTATTTTTGTAGGTACGACCCCCTTGGTCAAATTATGATTTGTATTAGGCTTACGACCAACAAGACCAAAGCATATAGCACCAAGCCTTGAATCCAGTCGGATTCGGGAGATCCAACACGATGGGCCACCTGTTCTTGGGTTCCTCGTTTCTGACAGCGTATGCTACGCTGTCAGGCACGAAGAAGTCGGGAGGAAGATAGGTCACCTTCTCTATGTCTTAGACCAAAGCTCGGTGATATGGAAATATTGGGATATAAAGAAGGATGGCCCGCACATGTACCCGGAGAGCGGAGACGTTCAAGCAATCCCGCTAGCCTGGTCACAGTATTAAAGGATCCAGACCAGGTATGACTAAATACTTAAGCGGGAAACACTATTCAATTTTCCTTCCATTTGATAATAAGAATATGCCTTACTCTGATTTGATCACCTATACCCTTACAAACCCACAAGATTGGTATTTAATGCATCTTTTTTCTATGTGTCAGGTGACAGTGATCTTTCGCAGGCGCCAGTGGTAAAATCAGAGGATCAGTGAAAGCCATACCGCGCCTGAACCGCCGAACCAGCCCGTACACTGAGAACAAAAAAGATGCGCCAAGGAACGGTCTCTTGGCAGGCAGAATACGCCAAAAATGTTGGTGAGACCATCAGAAGTCTGACGCAAGCATAAGATTCGAACCAAGTCAAGTCGGATCATGGAGTGATCCACCCAACTTGTTGTCAATGGGCCAATCCGGTATATTAACCCAGGTCAGGTAAAATCGTACTTTATCCCTTCCAATAAGGAGGGGGATCTCACTCTTTACTAATGCAAGGCTTATATTATCTCTCTAAATACTTGTGATCCTTGAGTCTTAGCATTTCCTTCCTTCCGATCATTTTTAACGACCGTCTCTTCACTTTCGCTCCATGGTGGCCCCTAAACCGTGGAGCATTTTCACCCACGAACTCTTCTTTTCTTCTATTTTATCACTTCAAAAAGCCCATCACTGCTAAAAGTCCAAAGTGACTCCACCTTTCTCAGGAGCTGTCGGTCCACGTTTCTTCACCCATTTTACGATCTTTTTCTGATATCCGATTAGCCACTTAGTGGTGTTTTCGGTTGGTTTCTGACTTAAATGTCGGAGAGCATTCGGAAAACATATCCCCATCATGTTTTTTGGACCTTCACGTGTTTTTCGATTTTGCAGGAGACTTGCCTCCACAAAAAGACCAAAAATTTCCTAAACATATATATATTATAGAGTGTGTGTTGAATCAAACATTTGAAATGATTCTTCGTGTTGAATTTTAAATGTCAATATTTTTAATCATGATTTTTTCAAAAGCAATCTAAAGTTATTGGTTTTAATATTTGGACATGTAATTTATAATAAAAAAAGTTATGACCAAAATCTTTACTTCTTAAAAAAAAATTCAAGGATACGAGAATACTTCAAGAAAAATTTTCAATATCATTTTTTAGCTTTACTATAAAAATACAATTTAGTTTCACATTGAAAATAAAAAATGTCTACTTTTATTAATACAGTCTAAAATATAAACTATTACATTTTTCATCTGCAGTAAATAATTTCACTATAATTATGTTAACAAGTGTTTTCTGATAGCTAAATTATATTGGTTTGTAAATTTAAATATTCCAATTAAATATTTTAAACTATATAAATCCCAATCTAATCTTAATATCATTTCCATGAGGCTTTTTGGTTGGAAAGTTTGATATATGTTACAAATAGCATATGTGTTTTTTTTTACTATGCAGTTATAAAATAAAAAAAATTACAAAGGTATATGGTTTTTAATAAATATTTGCTTTGATTGAAACATCTATTTTCTAATTCGGAAAGCTCGGTTTATCTTTTGTTGTAAATTGAAGAAAGCCATAGCTGTATTTCCACGTGCATTCCATGGTCGTGGCAGCTTTGTTAGAAGTTTGGTATAACCTAAATAGTTGAGAAAATTAATGAAATGAGTGATCGAACTGCTCAACAAAGAACTATTCAGTACATCAGAGATATCTATGCACTGCCTACTATTAGTAATAATGGTAAAAAGTCGTAAACCATTCATAAAATCTTATATATAAAAGAAGATTAATTTTCTCTCAAAAAGCCTTTAAACGGCATCTCTCTCCTCTCTTCCTTCTCTATAGAGCTCCTCTTTCCTTGATATCTCCGCCTCTCCGGGGATCTGTTTTTGCCAGAGAAGGCTCCCTCTTTTTCTTGTTTTTTTTTTCTGGCTTGCTCTTCATATACGGTTTTGTGTTCTCCTCTTCCAAGTTGGTGGCGGATTTGTGCTTCTCGGCGAGGTTGCCGTAGCTCTCCTGTAGATCGGTGGCGGTGGTGCTTTTGCAGATCCTAGATCTGATGAGGACAAGAACGGGTGATGCTTCCTCAGGCTCCGTTCCGTTTTTTCTCGGCTTTGCTCTCCTTCTTTGGTCTTTTCAGGTATTCCCGGTGGTTTTTGGTGGTTGCTGTAGCGAGAGTAGTGTTTGATGCGGCGGATAGGGTTTCATAGCTTGAACTTTTGAGATCTCACGAGTAAGACTATTTGTTTGGAGGACGCAGATGGGTTCATAAAAGGAGATCTCCGGAGGTGGCTGATTTACGGCGACGAAGCCTCCTCGATGATTGCTTTTGGCGGTTCTAGAGTTTGCTTCGGATCGGTTATTTTCCTTATTCTAGGTGCCTTGCTCCTCTCTCGGGTTTTCATCGCAAGGTAGGTTTCTTTTTCCAGATCTCAGATTCAGGTCTTCCTGGCTATTCGTTTTCTCGACGGCGGATGTGGCAGCGGTTGGTGCAGTTGTTTTTCGCTTAAGGTTTCGGTGTCTCCGGTTTAGTCCGATTTTAGAACTTCTTGGTTTGATGTTTTAGGGTTTAGGGTGCTTCTTGTGTGATCATTATTTGATATGAGTTTAAAATTTTATTCATATTTTTATAAGTCATTCAGATGTTCCATCTAGATGATCCATCGAGATGAGTCGATTAATGCAATTACACAAACATCATGCTTTATCTAGATAGATCATCCAGATGAGAAAAAGAATTTGCCCTAATGGTAAAAAGTCATATACCATTCATATAATTTGTATACACACCAACAATGCTAATACGATTTTTTTAAAACATATTGAAGATGTAGCTGCACCTGAAGGAGTTGCTGTACCAGTGGAGCTGGAGCATGGAGTAACTCAAGCATGGAGTGCAGAACAAGTTATCGAGAGGAGCGGAGCTGGACCAATAAGGATTCAATAAGGATTCAAGCCTTGGAAAGGAGCGGAGCTGGACGAGCGTAGCACGAAGGATCAAGAAGAATGGAAGATTTTCTTAAACACGATAAGGTTTAAAGAAATAGGAAAAATATACACAAAGATCGAGAAAAGCCATCTAGGGTGTAGGGTTTTGGCGTGTATAGTCGCATAGTCTACTAGGTACAAGTAGACTGTGTTGAAGCATTGTATGTGCTTAACACAACAACTATAGAACACTTAGCATAAGGGTGAGAGATTCTTGTATTGGGTCTACATCAAGGGTTAAGGAGTTATCTAGGGAGAGCTCGGAGATCAAGTACAGATCAAAGAACGAAAAGGCTAGGTCGACAGATCAAGGTGTATCTTGAGTCTGTCTTAAATCGTGTTAGGAAAACTTGTATGGTTTGATAACAGATTTACTAGCAATAAAGTTTCGATTAAAGAAAACCCTGTGTCAAGTTGTGTTTAGTTCTTGATATATTCGCTCTTGCATTTTCAATTGGTATCAGAGCATTCATCTGTAATTTGTAAACAGGTGAGATCTTAAGGAGATGAAGAGCTATCAAGAACTTGTGAACAGTTCAAAGGTGATTCTGAGCGCTGGAAACTACGGTTTTTGGAAGGCAAAGATTCAATCACTTGTCCGAGGAATTGATCCATTGGCATGGAAAGCTGTCCTGGTCAACTGGGAAGAACCAAAGAAGAAAAATGCAGCAGGAGCAAATGTGTCCAAGCCAAAAGAAGAATGGACCGATGATGAGAGCAAGAGGTTCAAGTACAACTCAAAGGCGTTGACGGCTATTCATTGCTGTATATCAGCTCAAACCTTTGAACTGATACAAGGATGTGAGACAGCCAAAGAGGCATGGGATATACTACAGCTCCAGTTCGAGGGAACCACGAAGGTACCGAACTCGAGGAAGGACATGCTTTCCTCTCGGTTTGTGATGGGCTTGCGGGCCTAGGGTTTGTTTTTAACAAGCTCATTAGTCCTCAAAAAGTTTTAAATATATAAAACCCTAGTGTCTGCAAGTGCATAGATGTACGTTGTAGGACTTAAGGGTGTCGATCCACAGGGAGGATGTCTAATCTGCGAGAAACCAAAAACGGGGAAGTAAGCAAAGTCATAAACTCATGGGGTTTTTGGGGTTTTTGGTTAAGAATCCTAAACTAAACCTAATCTAATATTCACAAGAAATAAGATGCAATGCAAATGAATTGTTAAAAGAATATCTCACGCATATCGACTCAAACTATAGATCTAAACTCATAGGTGGCATTTTAGAATTCTACGGTTTACTCTAGTCGATGTCAAAGTATTTCCAATTAGCCTCCGGGAGATTTATTTTCATCTGTTTCTGGGATCTGCATGGAACAAGAATAGACATGTGTATGATTAACCAACTCTCGCCATCTTAATAAACTAATCACTAAGATCTGACAATTAACTGTCGCTCTCATGCCAGAAATAAGATCATTCATTAAATATTGAATTCGTCTGCTCTCATCTTCTCTACAGGTAGCTCTCGACTCCTATAACGATTATGTTCTTCTGAAGCTAGGTATGGATGATCTGATACAGCATTCTCGTGGCTCTGATCGATCCTAGGCTTATAGAACAGGGCATGAATCTACTCTTATGCAATATGAACAACTTAGAAGAGATGAGATACAGAATATTATCTAGAAACTTAGAAATCTTAATCAATATATATGCTTATCGAAAACTATTCAAACAACTTTGACTCTCTGGGACAAATCTACATGATGCAAGGAATGATAAAAGACATGAAAGAATGCAAAAGATGAAACATAAAAGTTAATTAGATAGAAAGGAGAAAGAACAATGAATCAGGGGAATAATCCCCATCTCCATCGCCTAACCCTAGAAAAACAGAGTTTGGTGGCTCAAAATCTCATTACAGGAGCACACACCCATTTAGGACTGCTAAGAAATGTATTTATAGGTTCTAAGGTCTTTCAGGTCTCATCTAGGGCTTCTCTGAAGAGAAATGGCGAAGTGGGGTTTGATGTTGGGCCTTGTGGCTCGTCATTAGGTCCACCGGGGGTGAAAGTCTTCTAAGGCAGGTAAAACATAGTTTTGCCGCGGGTGAGAGTCTTCTGAGGCCGGTGAATTTGGTCAACTTGTTTTTCATGTATCTTTTTATTGCACCGTTGGATCTTTGTGATGTAAAATGCTATGGAAAACTGGTTGTCTCCTCTTAATTGTCTCCAAATTTGAGCTAGATCAGATGGTGGTAAAATCTTCATTTGAGGCTGAACTTCTGACGGTCTGACTCTGAGCTGAAAAAGTGGATTTCTTCCATTTTGCCATCATTTTCCTTAAGTTTCCTGAAAAGAGTCTTGAAACTACAAATACTTAGAAATCGTAATAAAAGTTCCTAAAACTGATTAAAACATTTGAAAAAACATTTGAAATCAATAGTGAAATGGGTACAAATACGGTGTTATCAACTCCCCCAAACTTAGACTTTGTTTGTCCTCAAACAAAACAATCCAATCTGGAAAAATATCATTCAACAGAAATGAGAGGGAACTCAAAAATATCAGCAACCATACTTCTAGACCTTAATTATGGACAATGCATCAATCAGATCAAGTCTAGAAAATTCTCATCAAAATACAAACATAACTAATCCGTTAATCCGTCATGCGAAAATCCACACACTTATAACTAACTTCCAGTCAACTAGCTCTTAACATTCATTAAAGGTTTCAGTGATTCCCATCAACAAGATATTAAACAAGGCATTCAAGGTTAGGTATCAAAAGGCTTTTAGTGGTAAGGCTTGATGTATTTAGGGTGACATTTTTCTGGAGAGACATGACATTATGCAAAACAGCAAGAGAGGATGAAACTGTCAATGCCTCCACAGTTTCTAGTCACATCCTCCTTGCTTCAAGATTTATGATCTCCTTCTTTCAGTTTCTCCTTACAACTCCCCCAGACTTGAATTTTTGTCCAGGTTGTGAATCCATAACTCCTTAGGTGAATACCTATTGCCTTGGCTCAAAGGTTTTAGCTTCTAAGACTCTTTGGGCTCTTAGTTTCCTTTCCTTTATTTCTTTTTCTCTTTTTTTTTTGGGTAAGGGGAAACCGTCTTTTGACTGAGAGTCTTAGGGAACATGAAAATTACCTTTAAGAATAAGCTTTCAAGACATCATGAGGCTTGCTGAGGTTGCATGGTACACTTCTTTCCTTGTTTCATTCAGTCCTTCTCTTGAGTGACTGAAAACTATGTTGTTCCTCCCGCTCTGGCGTTTTTGCACATATCTGTCAACATAGACTTAAAAGAGAGTGTATGAGGTTTGAACATGAAGGTTTGGGCTAAGGGTGAGGTACCAGCTAAAGATGAACTGGACATCTAGGACAACAAAGAGTGGTAACAATAAGGTAAAGATGACCTAGATGTATATCATGATGTCTTCTTAAAACCATTGATGAGAAAATTAGATGTCAAGATTAAGTCCAAGTAAAATGAGCTAGTATATCCTGTCAGAAAAGATTTCTATGAATAGAAGTCCTCTGGTGGGATTTAGTAGTGTAAGTACTCTAGCTACCACCTAGTCTAGTACTAAACCTTGAAAGAGCTTTTTATGAATGATTGGTGTAGAAAAAAACAGGTTGGTTATCATCATTGATTTTGTCATTATTCCCTCAAAACGTATTTGACTTTTGAAAACACTTTTTGAAACTCAAAAAACTTTTGAAAAGTTTTAAGAAAACCCAAAAAATTGAGAAATTTTAAAGAAAAATGCAGAATGCAAAGACTCATGCAAGAAAAGGTGGTTAGAAAAGGATGAAATCCTCCCACAGACTTGAATCACACTCCCTCAGTGTAAAATAAATCAGGCAAGGATGAGAAATAGAGTATGTGAAAAATTTAAAAGATGAGAGAAAAGAAAACTTACCTGGTGTTGGAGATGGATTGTGAGGTGGTTGTGGAGGTAGTAGGATGTTGAATAGTGGATGGTGGATAATGTGGAGTGGTGTTTGATAAAATTTGGATTCCAAGAATCCAAATCAGTCCCAATTTTATCAAGGTGGAGGTGGAAGTGGCCAAGGGTGGCCGGATTCGTGCTGGCCGTGGTTGAAGTTTTCGTGGCCGTGGTGGAATGCTTGCTGGCCGCAGCAAAACCTCTTCTTGCCGTGGCTGAAGGCTCCTCGGCCGCGGTCAGCTCATTTTTTTTTCTTAGATGCATACTAAGGCCTGTCTAAGATAAGAAAAACAAAACTTTAATAGAAAAAGAAAGCTAAACAAAAACAAATAAGTACCTAAATGGGTTGCCTCCCATCAAGCGCTTTGGTTTATAGTCCTTAGCTAGACTTTGCAAAGAAAAAGACTTATTTCAAATAAGATCTTGTCTTAAGACAAGTCCTTTTCGAAGTCCTCCTGTTCTGTCTTGCAGGTTCTTCATCACTTCAGAGTTCTTCTGGTTCAAATGCCTGGGCTTTATGATTTCCTCCTTTGCTCTTTAATGGTTTAGCTTCATAGAAGATGTCTTTGTCGATATTTGCAAAAGAAACTCTCCGGTTGGGACAATCCATGATGGCTCCACAGTTGCTAAGAAAGGTCATCCAAGGATAACTGGATATGAGTCATCTTTGGTCTTCACTATGTATAGATCGACAGGTGCTATGAAATCTCCAATCCTTAGAGGAATATCTCGGGTTATCCCTCTTGGTTTTGCACTTGAATCATCTGCTAAGCTAATCTTTGTCCTGGTACTTAAAATGTGTTTAATGCCAAGTCTCAAAGCAGTAGCTTTGGACATCATGTTAATGCAAGCTCCAGAATCACAAAGAATATTAAAGAATCTTTCACCTCTAATGTCACAAGAGATAAGAAATTGACCTTTGTCTTGAACTTTGTTCAGAGTTCGAACTTGTCTTTCCTGTGGAACTTTGCTGCATCAAAACTGATGATAGAATCTATGTATGGCATTTCAATCATCTTAGGTGATTCATCTTCCACATCTATGACATCTGGTTCACTTTCTGTGATCATCATGCATGGGGTGTGAGAGTCATACTCTTCTAGATCCGCAGAGTCTTGGTGATGTGAGCTCAGGGAGGGATGGTGGTTACCCACAGGTGGAGACGTCGCACCTGCGGTGGAGATGGGTCTGGCCGCGGGTGAAATCTTTTCGGCCGCGGTTGAGACCTCCAAAGGTTGCTCAACTACTCATCTTTCTTGTTATTCCACAGTGTCTTTAGGGCTATTCTGGGTGTCCATTTGATAACACCCAATTTTGACTATTTTTCACCATTGATTTCAAATGCTTTTTCAAAGGTTTTACTTATTTTTAGGAAATTTTATTATGATTTCCATGTATTTGTAGTTTCAAGACTCTTTTCAGGAAATTTAGGGAAAATAATGGCAAAATGGAAAAATCCACATTTTCAGCTTAGAGTCAGACCGTCA